CACACACACACACACACACACACACAATGAGAATTAAATGTGTCCTCTTCGCTCATGGGAAAAAAGTTTTTCCTTGAACTGCATGAACCAAACAAGCTCAGTTTTTCCTTCCTCTCTAGTCGTACAGTGATGATAGCATGCGTCAGTCCGTCGGACCGGGACTTCATGGAAACACTGAACACACTGAAGTACGCCAACCGTGCCCGAAACATCAAGAACAAGGTGGTGGTGAACCAAGACAAGACCAGCCAGCAGATCAACGCCCTGCGTGCTGAGATAGCCCGACTGCAGTTGGAGTTGATGGAGTACAAGGCGGTGAGAGACAGGAGTGAGAGGTTGATGGGATTGAAAAAAACGATAAATATTTGAAAAAATACAGACAAGGAGAAAAAGATAATAGCAGATAAATCAAGAGGAAAAGGGAAGGTGGGGTTGTGGAGATGAGGAAAGAAGAGTTGCGGCTTTTAGATGGGAGCGATCACGTCTGTCAGTGTAACTGATGCAATGAGGCTGTAAGAGAGGAATGAAAGATGGATGAGACTCAGAATAGTAACAGCACAAGAAGCAAAAAGGCACTACTAATTGAAGTAAAAGAAGATTGTATTAAAGGGAAAGCAGTGGCCATGCCAGCAGCTACAGCAGTTTATATCAAATTGAAGATCTTTACTGGAACACACATCCATTTATGTATTTTACTGGAGTGCATGAAGGAGATTTATTGGTGCAACCTCAGCTCTTTACCATAAAATGCAGGGATCAGTTTGAAATAAATGTGCTCATCACCTAATGTGGACCATTAGACAGAAAAAACACACAGAGGTGCATGATACAAGAAAATGTGACGATTTAACAAATTCTGCAAAGTTTCCAATTTTTCATCAGCTTTGATGTCTGGGACGACAAGAAATGAGCAGTTGTTTAGCTGGATTGTCAGTCTATTGTGCAGTTACCACGGTTACTAGAGGGAAGTGAATGTATGACTGTGAGGAGGGACGCCGGATTGACCTCAATGTGGTAATCAGGGATGTAATGTGAAGTAATAGCGTGTTGGGCTGGTGGAAGTAATGATGTATGCGAGCTGTGACTGCATTAGATAGTGACATTCTGTTGAAGCTTACACAAGAGGATTCTTTAAGTGAATCACTCGGGACACAACAATACACACACTGACCAGCTCAGTTCAAACAATAGCGTTGTGTTTGGTAGGACTGCAACATCAAGTGTATGAACAAGCGTGGATGTTATCAGTTTGTTTTTTAGGTCTTGACTTTTTGCCCCCAAATTATTTGTATTAAACATGCTGACTTCTCGATGCAGGGGAAGCGTGTGGCGTGTGAGGATGGTTCAGAGGGGTTCAGTGACCTGTATCAGGAGAACGCCATGCTGCAGAGAGAAAATGACACACTGCGCCTCAGGGTGAAAGCCATGCAGGAGACCATAGACCACCTCAATACCCGAGTGACACACCTGCTGGCCAACGAGGTCAGCACTCTGCTGAACAAGTCAAGTATGTGAAAGACGTGTGATAAATTTTAATGTATAAAGGCTACAGACAAATGTTTCTCTTAAGTTTGCCATATATCAATTATTACTCGTACTGCAATCTTATCTTACTGAGCGCTTCTGTGACCTGAGCCTCCTTTTACCCTTGACCTCCAGATGATGGCAATGAGGAGATTGGGGCTTTAATCCAGAACTACATTCGAGAAGTTGAGGAACTGAGGTAAGAACTCAAAATCAAACCTCAGTCTGAAAATGGCTTTTTTACTTGACAAATGTTTTGGCTGAATGGATGATATTCTTTTAAATGGGACCTATAATAGTAATAGTTAAAATAATATAATAAAAGTAATTTCTGTCACCATTTTACAAAGTTGATGTGTGGACCTTTATATTAAACATGGCCAAAGTTTCAAATCATAAGGTAAATGTAATTAAAAGTCGCTGTAAGCTAAAACATCTATTAACAGCATGTTTCTGTCCGCTGTCAGAACCAAGCTTCTCGAGAGCGAGGCCATGAATGAGTCGTTGCGACGGCAGGCAACCCGGCTCTCCTCCCGCTCATTGTTCCCTGCCTCCACTCTCAGCCCTGCCCCGGGCCACCCCCCTGGTTCCTCCCCTGCCTCCATGTCCATGGAGGCCGAGATGACGGACGTGTTGCGCCGAGCCAAGCTGGACATCGAGAGGCTGAAGAAGAAGGAGCGGAGGCAGAGGAGGATGAGGTGAGGAGAGGTGTACACATGCCATGTTTCTACAATATATGTGCAAATTCCAACAAGGTCCTTCTTCGTCATATCTCCAAACGTTACAGCTTTATTTAACTTTATTTCTTATGTCCTCCTGAGTCTTTATCAACAAACCTGTGCATGCAAACGCTGAAAGAGCACAATGAGCACATAATTGTTTCCTGCCTCTATTGTCTTTGCTCCACGTGCGTCTCTTTTCGAGCTTGAGAGGCACATCACAAGACGATTAGGGCTTTGGGACGGCAAGCCAGTGCTGAGTACAAACGTTGGCTCAGACACAAAAAGGTCTAATTCAGTCGGCCAGTGGGTCATGAGAGAGGAGAGCATGCAGCCCAATAGGCTAATTGAAGTTTAATGGGATAGAGACGGGAAGTCAGAGATGGATGGGTTATAATAAGCAGCACGGTTTTAAAAGAGGGAGAAAAAGAGAGAATGAAGTTGATAATAAAGTTTAAAAAGCTAAGAGGGCGATTAGGGTATATGAGCTGAGGAGGAGTTTGTTGTTACCGCAAGCACTTGGCAGCACTCCCAAAACCCTAATGGTGGATGGTAAGAGTGTGTGACATCTCTCTTGAAGGAGACAGAGTGTGTCTGCGGGTAATGGACAAAAACCATTTGGAATATTAGAATATACATCCACTTTAACCTAATGTGGTGAGGTGTTGTGCATTTCTTCCACCACCGGCTCTAATCTGAACAACATGCTTTTCTCTTCCTGCAGTCCGGAGCTGGAGAAAGGTCTGAAGAAACGAGTGAAGCTCCACACTCATGAGAATGGCGAGAACGGGCAGAATGGAGAAAACAGGCTAAATGGACAGAATGGAGAGATCGATTCAGATGACAATTACGCTGAGGTTTACTTTTACTCCCTATATTTTAAAACCAATTGTGTACTTTCTGCTCCTTATATTTTCAAAACAGGCTCCTAACTTTCGTTTCAATATGTTTTCATTTCATTTTGTTTGTAGGACATCATGTCTCCACTGCAGGAGGAGAGTGGCTGTGATGAAGACGAGGGGGAGGATGAGGAGGAGGGCAGGGAGGAGGAGGACGAGTTTGACAGTGACGAGAGTCTGGTGGATTCAGACTCGGACTCGGAGGAGAAAGGTGAGAATCTGACAGCTGCTACAACACACAGAGACCAGACCTCTTTCCCATTTCTGTTCTGTTTTCTGACAGCTTGTCCTAATTTGTTTGCATCTCTTTCTGTCACAACACCTTTTGAACCTTTGAAACAAAACATGAGAGAGGCCTGATGCCAGTAGGAATGACACTAATATACAAATACACAACACATAAAAATGTGTGTCTGACCTTTGCCCCTTCCAACCGACAGCTAACTTCCAGGCGGACCTGGCCGACCTGACCTGTGAGATCGAAATCAAGCAGAAGCTGATAGACGAGCTGGAGAACAGCCAGCGGAGGCTGCTGATGCTCAAGCTGCAGTACGAGGAGAAGCTTATCCTTCTGCAGAACAAGATCAGAGACACTCAGCTGGAGAGAGACCGTGTGCTGCAGAACCTCAGTGAGCACCATGGGATTTGTAGTTAACATATATGGTTGAGGAATTTGAAAAACACAAAAGTAGGTTGGCTGATAAGTAGAAATGTTAAAAGGGTCGTTTCATGGCTCCACAGTGTCCATGGAGAACTACACTGAGGACAAGGCGAACCGGATCAAGCAGGAGTACGAGAAACGTCTCAAGGAGATGAACCGTGACCTGCTGAAGCTGCAAGCTGCTCAGAAGGAGCACGCACGTCTCCTCAAAAACCAGGGGAGGTATGAACGGGAGCTGAAGAAACTCCAAGTTGAGGTCAACGAGATGAAGAAAGCCAAGGTATGGGCAGCTAAAGGAGAGTGGGAGCGTAAATAGAACTTAACTTTTGGAGGAGGAAATACTAATACTACATCAGTTAAGAGAGACTGACCTCTGTGCTGTTTCCAGGTGACTCTGATGAAGCAGATGAAGGAGGAGCAGCAGAGGAGGAGGATGGTGGAGGCGAAGAGGAACCGTGAGATTGCGCAACTTAAGAAGGAGCAGAGACGCCAGGAGGTCAGTCTGCACGTGTGCATGTTGTGCAGGGATATATTTGTTCTGATACTGCTGATAGCATTATTGTTCCCCACACAGTTCCAATACAGTTCTGGAGCCACAATGAATGTTTTGCAAACAAATTCCCATTTTTACAAATTTTTGCAGTTTAGGTTTTGTAATGTCACACACACAAATACAATTATTGTACAATCATTGGAAAATAGCTGAGAATAAGAATCTGAGCAATGTTATGTATACATTTGATATACATCTGTGTTACAGCTCATGCTTCAAATTAAAACTTCACTGCTGTATTTAAGGCAACACTGTCAACTTTTTACCTTAAAGTAGCTTCAAAATTACTTTGATGGAACAGAGAAATAGAGAGAATGGAGCGTCTTTCATTCCCACCTCTCACCCTGAAAGTCTGTTGTTGCTTTATGCAAGAACGGTGAGAGGTTACGATCTCTTGTAAGAAATGTGTATCTGATAATAGTCAGGCCCAGTATTTCGAGAGTCATGCACTGTAAATCAGTTAAAAAGATTTTAGAATTCTGGAATTGATCAGGCCAAAAAATTGATAGACAAGGAAGGATACAAGGAAACCACATATTTGCTCGGACACAGAGCCCATCAGAATTGATCATGTGTAGCTGCAGAGGGTGCTGTTGCATAGTAAAAGTAACAGTGTTGCTTTAAAAAAAGAAATTCTGTAGAGTGAGGTCTACATCTGTGATTCATGTATCATGTACATGCTGCTCACAGACTGTTGATATCACTTTTATTCTTAGGAAGATCAGTACGTACTGCACTCATATAGATATCTGTCTTTATTTGTAGTTTCCTGGAGCAGAGAGTTTATTAATCAGGGTGAAACATTTACACTGTCATACTGTGGGGCTCATTCATAATCCTGTTGTTTAGTATTTCAAGTTAAAATCCTTTTATGGTGAGCACCTTGTAAGACTGTTATGCAAAAAGCTTATTTACCAATCTCAGTAATGTAAATACCGTGTGAGCAGCAATAAAGAATTGAGATTAAGTCGACACAGTTGTAAGCACATTAAAGAGTTGTGTCTCCTCTCTTATCCATCAGTACCAGATTCGAGCACTGGAGTCTCAGAAGCGGCAGCAGGAGATGGTGCTGCGCAGGAAGACGCAGGAGGTGACGGCCCTGCGGCGCCTGGCCAAGCCCATGTCAGACCGCGTAGCCGGACGCGTGGCCCGCTGGAACCAGGCCTCTCTGGGTACAGACTCTGGAGCTGAGTTATCAGCCAGCACCACGGCGAGCAGCTCCGAACCTGACACTGGGAGGATAGTGAGCGGCCTGGTGAGACAGTGGAACAACAAGAACAATGTGATGGGATACCTGGGAGAGAGCGAGGGAAGCATGGATGGAACCAGGGTCATTGGGTAAGACTGGCTGGGATTCATGTATTTAATGAGACTGTATTCACATAGCAGTTAACCAGACAGCCAGTATCGGAGCTATGGACTTTTCTCATTGACCTAATGGATAAAGTTTATGAAGTATTTAAGAGTCAGGGAAGACTTTAATTTAGATTCTTCATATAATAAATAGAATCTCATTTCATTACATTATATTTTTAAAGCACGTCATTGTCAGTGGCTGCTGATTTACATCTCTGATCACCTCTCACATCTCTTAATCTCTTTCCAGCAACAGGAAGAAGATGCAGAGGAAGCCAGCACTTCTGGGCATCAATGGAACAGCAGGCAGAGCCAGCAGCTTCTCCAAGTCAGCCCGTCAGAAGTGGCAGACCCTCGAACGTCGCATCATGGACATCGTCATGCAGAGGATGACCATCTCTAATATGGAGGCTGATATGGACCGCCTTATCAAGGTAGGATTAGCTCTGGCTCGGTGGATAAAACCGAGGTGGATAAAACCTGCTGTTTGAATTGTTAAGGGATTTGAAGGACAGTCAGGCAGTGTAGTGTTGCAGCATCAGTCATAATCGCTGTGCGTGCTTCTGTGTTCTGTCGAGTCAGAAGCGAGAGGAGCTGACGGCCCAGCAGGAAGCACTGTCGCATAAAAGGGAGGTGCTAATGGCGGATGGGGAGGGACCAGAAGCAGAGGACCGCCTCCTTCTGGAAATTAATGAGGATATTGAGGTGCTGAACGCAAACATAGACTACATCAACGACAGCCTGTCTGAGTGCCAGGCCACCATTGTACAGATAGAGGAGACCAAGGTATACACACACACACACACACACACACACACACACACACACACACGTGCTGTTTAGAATACTCTTCCTTATTGTGTGTTTTCCTGCAGGATGAGCTGGACTCGGTAGACACCTCTGTGGTGATCAGCTCTTGCTCCTTGGCTGAGGCACGCCACCTGCTGGACCATTTCCTGAAGGCCTCAATTGACAAGGTGTGTTAACAGAAAAATTGTATATGCTAAGTTATTGTTACCAATACATGTGTGTGTGATTATTTTCAGTCTTTTACGTTTTGTTTGGTTTCTTTGAACTGAAAATTATATTTTACAATTTTACTGATAAAATGATCATGTTATTTTTGTTTATTGAGTAGTAATGTCCTGAATGTCTGTTAAAGTGAGTGGTTGCAGTGTCATCTAGTGGTGACTATTTGTGTTACAAGATGTTACAAGATTTTTTTTTTTTTTGGGGGGGGGGGTCTTGGTATAAAACAAATCACAAAATACCATTTAGAAAATAAGTATTTACCAGATAGTCTAACATCCTGTTGTGTAAGTAGCACCCAGTCAAAAAGTTAGTGTAACACTATGAGAGATCTCCTGTCTTGACTTTAACTGTGTGTGTGTGTGTGTGTGTGTGTGTGTGTATGTGTGTGCAGAGTTTACAGGTGGCTCAGAAGGAGGCTCAGATCAGACTGCTGGAGGGCCAACTGAGACAGACGGACATGATTGGCTCATCCCACAATCACATGATCCTTGATGCCCTGAGAGTAAAGGCCGAGTACATCCCTGAACTCCAGGCTCTCATCCACAATGTACAGCAGGGTGAGGAGAGGTTTTTGTGTATCTGTGTGGAGACTTTTCTTCTCTCTTTTCCAGTTTGTGCATAGCATTTGGAATCGAAATCGATAAGACTTTTATTATCTGTTCAACCATATTGACTGGCAGTAAACCATGCAGTACATCTGTAAATACAGTACCAGAGGAAAAAGTTAAGTTTTAAGATTAATATGTACTTGTATTCGCATTTTTCCTTGCGTCACTCTTCAGAAATGTTTTGAAGCACGTAAAATCTGCTTAGAAAACGACGAGTTTTAATCAGCTTCGTAGAATATATCAGAGCATGACATTGTAGCAGAGTAGGTTGTGGCACATACAGACAGGTTGAAGGGCAGGTTGTGGTGGTGTATGATGCACTGCAGACTTGTGATTTGTCTGCTTCCAGAAAACGGTTATGCCAGCACAGACGAGGAGCCCTCTGAGTTCAGCCAAGCCTCTGACTGCAGGTGAGACTGCAGAGCCTCCAACACCCTCCACACACAACATCCACCTCATTGTTAAAATCATCAGTTTAATAAATCTTACTTAATTCTGATTTGGTAGAAAAACATGACGGTCTTTTCTCACGTTTCTTTGTTTACTTGATTCTCCTTGTGTCTCGATCTTTCGGCAGTGTATCTAAAATGAAAGAATCCAACAGCCAAGAGGATTTCAAGATAAAGGTACAGCTGCTCATTGAAGTGGACAGATGTTACTAAGCTCAGCCACAGATGTTGCAGACTCATTTTACTGTTTACCAGATTTTAATATTACTTTTTGTATTTTTTTTTATCTTCAGTGTCACTTCTCAAAACATCAGGTGGATACATTTTTACAGTGCCGAAAATTGTCAAACCCCTTTGAAACTGTATAAGCCTGCATGTTGTTAGATGATGTTCATGTGCTGAAGCTTTTGCTCAAGTGTGTTTTGAATGTTTTCCGTACTTTTTCACACGCCTCATTTTGTCAGAGTAGCTGCTATTCCAGAGTACAACCACAAGGTGGCAGTATAAGCATAATGTATAGGTGGATGAAGCCCTGGCATGACACCAATCCCTTTTAATTTATTGTTAATGCCACGCTCTACTCTTATGTTTTCAGTTTCAGTTTCCCTTCATCTAGCCTTCGTTTGACCCTACAAATGCAGCTTTTCCTTTTCTAGGTTGTTTGTTCTGCTGTTTCCATATTCTCTTTGCCATTTTTTAAAATATTTTCCAGCTTTATCTTAATTTCCTCTTGTGCCTTAATTCAATTCAGGCTTTTATCTTTATTCTCCCGGCTTCTGATCCGGCTGTCCTCCTCCTTCCTCATTTCATTCTCTCTTCTATGATAAAACAAATGATGCACATTTTTCACCCAGATGGAACCCCGTCTGTCGGCTCAGATGAAGGCGGTGTCTGCAGAGTATTTGGGTCCTGTGCTGGATCCCTCATCAGGTAGCAAGCAGCAGCACATCACCAAATCCCTGGCCTCGCTGACTGATATCCAGGAAGATGGCCTGAGTCTGGTGAGAGGGAGCCTGGGACTCAGCCTGTCGGTGCGAGACCCTTACCACAGGGAGAGGGCGTCCCGCACCATCAGTCTGCCTGTCAGGGGGCACACCTTGTAAGTCATGAACTGAATTTGAACTGCAGTGGTAAAGAAATAATGATAACTAAGATAAAGCACACCAATCATCTTTAAGTGTTACCAGGAACAGAGAATTATCAGGAGGCTTGGCTCTTGTTTTTCTGCATCATTGCATTCTGACAACTCCTCACAAGTGATGATTCCTGCAGCGCTGCAGTGGGTGGAGCACTCTCTGCACAGATCTCCTTTTATGTCCCACACCTCCTCAGGACTATTAGATGAACTCAAGCCCCCTTCGTCGACTCCACAACCATTATAACATTTTTAGCTGATGATTTCAACCATTTAGCCCACAATCAACCATTAAATCATATTCTTTTAGCTATTCCCTCAACTATCGCTTACTTTAAGCTTTATATCACAAATGTTTCCCTTATTTTTAGCTAAGTAACAACAAATTAACTCAGAAATGCATCTATTACTATTAGCTAAGTATCAACCATTTAGATCAGAACTGTATTAATTAATGTACTGTTAGTATTTAGAAAAATATATTTATGGCACTTTCACAATTTCATTACTTTTTGCAAACTACCTTTTTGTTTTGTTTGAATTTAGACTAGCAAACTACTTTTCAGCACTTGCACAGTTATGACAGTTGGCACCGTATGTGTCTGTGTATTTTGTCAGACAGACGTATTCCATGTCCTCTATAATAATAACAATAATAATAATAATAATAACCTATATGGTGCAGCGACCCTGTTCAGGAATCATCTCTCTGCTGTGCGGCCTGTTGAGTCCTCATCAATCACAGAACCTCATCTCAAATCCCACTGATGCCAAACATTTGTTTTGCTGAAGTACAGGAAAAATTGCATCTAAGTATCTAACCACAACACCCTGAGGAATGTAACAAATACGTGAACTGCAGTGAAGAACTATTTTTATGTCATATTTCCTGATTAAGGATTTAAAAAATCCCCCCTAATAATATCCTCCTGCACATTTCCAAACTAACAACCACTACAAGAAGCCTGACATTTTTTTAGGTTATAAAACTGCTTGAGGGAGAAGACAGTGAAATGTGCTTCTGTCCTCAGGGATGGCAAGCCTGGTTGTGTGTGATTTGATATTTAAAGGAATGAGTCTGAGCTGCATTAGTCTGCTAGAAATGCCATTGCTACTGCACGCACTCTTGGAAATCTGCTTAGTTTGCTTGTGTGTTTGTGTCAGTCCCAGGCAGTCTCGGGGTTATGACACTTCCCCTATAACAAGGAGGAAATCGTACGACCGTGCGTACAGGTACATGTAATGCTTATATTCGAGCTACTCTTCAAGCAAATTGATGCACAGTGTGACTGTGTAATGTGATATAAAGCCATTGTTGTCTAACTCTGTCCTTCCTCTTCCCTAACCTCTCTCATCCTCCCGCCCTGTATCAGACCCACTGATGGCTACACTCCCCCCTCCTCCCCTCCTCTGAGGACCAGGAATGACCGCAACGTCTTTTCAAGGCTCACGAGCAACCAAACCCAAGGTTCTGCCCTGGACAAGTGAGTACACTCCTGCACATGTGCATTCACACACACACACCCTTTTTGTACACACAGTCATCTGATCAATTCAGTTGCACTCTGAACCATTCTTTCTTTTTCTTTGTCCTCTTCCATATGTTTAAGGTCTTTACAGACGCTGAAGGTCAGACCTTTGTCTGTGGTGTAGTTGAGCCTTCTAAAAGTGTGGGGGGGGGCAGATGGTGTAAACATTCACAGAATCACACAAAGTGTTAAATGCTCTCAGGAGACATTGATGACAGTTTGGCAAGATAACGTCAAACACCATCGAGATTAATCGAATAAAAACTATTTACATACATAAAGGTAAACAACTACAACAGACACATAGTAAAGTGCAGTTGCACAGTTTAAAACCTTGTTACAATGTAGTTACAAGAGCTGCTGAGTCTGGAATGAGCAACCGGCCCTTTTCCCTTCCCGGTCACAATCAATTCAATCTTTCAGCCGTTGTCAGCCAGCGTTTGGCTCAACTGCAAAGTTGTTTGCTTTATAATCTGTATTAATACAGAACGTTTCTCTGCTTTATCTACCTCTAATTGTTAGCGAGGATCGGCGAGGACGCCGTGTGAAGTGAGTTAGGGTGTCTTGTCTTTGTATGTGTGTGAATATTGTTAAGTGTTGTGTGTGCTGAAGCCTGTGGCTCCTCATTAACAGGAGCAGGGCTACTAAATGAGGTGGCGCTTGTCATCCTCCATGCAGCTGTTGTCAATGGTAGCCATTTTAAATTGACTCTGGCTGAGAGTGTTGGAGGGTATTAATGTTGTTGGATAGTCTCTTATGAGGTTCCCACAGGCAAAGCTTTTACAGGACAGAGGAAGATGACACTTTATTTTTCTTTATGCATTTGCATTGTTATGTTTTGAAGAAAGACATTAACATAATTTTGACATTTGCACTTTATGTGAGGTGTCTGTGGCATGAATGTTTTTTTATTTATTCAAACCATCATATTCATTTTATTTAGTTTCCTTGTCCTTACATTCAGATTCAGATTCAGATTGCCTTTATTGTCATTGAACGTGATTCAACGAAATTTGCATTGCTACGCCCCTGTGGTACAACATAAAAACAACATGTAATAACACAAGAATATATACAATAAAATACAGCCAGGATAAATACAACAACGACATTTCACACAAACTGACCTAACTCTGGCACTTCATTTATACTCAAAATTATAAACCCACAGCCAAGTGAAGCTGATTTATTATAAAATAATTAGTTTGGATCGTCTGTGTGAAATCTGTGTAATTGGGTGTCAAATGAGAAGCTGTCAAAACCAAGAGAACCACGCAAAGACAGAAAATAATGATGTTTTCAAGTACATCTTTGCAAATTCTGAAAACGTATTAAAATGCAGTAAGCTTTTTTTCTGATTGTGAATGTGTGGATGCATTATAATTTTTTTGACTGATTCATATTTAAGCAGACGGATTTGAAAGACAAAAAAAAGAGTTTGTCTCCGGAGTCAGATATCAATATGCTAATAGCGTGCAGTATGTGGTGCAGACAGTCAATAACAAGAAACTTCTGTTACCTTCTGTCACGTCGTTGTTCCCTCCAGACGTTTCCAGAACCGTTCCTGTTCAGAGTGTAAGGCACAGGCTCCCATGGTGACAAACCCGAGGCTATAAAATATTTACAATATAATAACACTTTTATTGCACTGCTACATACATAGCAGCCTATACCTTGTAGCTATGGCAAAGGTATGGGTGTGGTCTGGATTTACTCACTCGACAGCCTTGAGCGGGCTCGTCTGTGAGATCGATTGACATCCTTATCTTTCAATCCACTGGACTTTTCCGTCTTTTAACCCTGTTTGCTTTTCACCCTTTTCTGTGCTAATAACCTTGTGGCTGGAAAGAGGAGATGCAGCAGGGGACACTGAAATTATAGGAGTTATACGCAGAGGACAGAAGTGTAGTGCATGTGGAAATTGTACAGTTCTTGGACCTCTGTGTGTGGCAGTCCTGGCTTCAGTGCTTCCTCCTTCACTACTTCTCTTTTTCTTTCAATAACTTATTTGCTGGTTTTCCCAAAAATATTTTAAATTGTTGACATTTCGGGAAATATGCTTAATTGGCTTTTCTTATGGAGGATTTGCTGGATAAGAATAATGACTCTGACACCACTGTCACATCTGTGCAGAATGTGAAGCTACTGCTGATTTCTAAACCTCACCAATTAATTATTGTGTGTGTTTAATTCTTACACAAACAAGGTGTAATGAAGAAGTTTCAAGTCTTCATGCTAAGCTGAGCTAATAGGCAGCTTGCTGTCACTTTAGGTGTACAGACAGACATGGTATCTGTCTTCTCAGCTTGCTCTTGGTGATAAGTATATTCCTCAAAATGTCTATTTCGGTTTCTTTAACCTTTAATATTAGCCGTAAAAGCTAGTCCAACTCTACTAAACCAGCCTTTGCTTAACGTGGGTTGCTTTACCAAGGAAAACATCTCCAGACGCTGGTCAAAGAATACAGCCTGTTCAATGTTATGTTTGAGAAGGCAAACAGTTCGATAATCACTGAACAAGCTTTACTCTTGACTGAGCTTTCCTGCCAGTTTGCTCACTGCTTTTATCTAAAACCCCTCTTCTAGTCACTCCTCCTTCCTTTAACCCTTTGCCAGTAACCCTTCTGTCTTCCCTTATCGTGTTTAACCCTCTCCTCTTCCTGCCCCACCCTGCCCCTCCCTCTCCTTGCTCCTCTTCTGCCTCCAGGTCGGATGACAGCGACTCCTCGCTCTCCGAGGTGCTCAGGTAGAGGAACTGTGTCTGTTGCTCGCTGTTTTTCCCCATTTGCCTGGTAACATCACCTGGTGTCATCTCAACTCCACGAGTGCTCAGTGCCTCACCCGGCCTCTCCACCTCCTCCTCCTCCTCCTCATCCTCCTCCTTTATCTCCCTCTTGCAAATGGGGGTCGTTGTGGTGCATGTTTTAACCACACTTGGCTTTCTTGACACGACAGGGCCTGTGTGATGTTGTGTTTCTCTGGCGTGTTGTTTGCACGTAAGACCTGAATGAACCTCATCACTTCTTTGAAAGGCTGTTAAAAAACAAACGTGAAATGGTGCCAAAACCTCTCATGACTGTAATAACTATTCAATATTCCTAGTATTACTTTAATATGTGAAATATAGAGTATGTAACATTTACAAGTAATAAACAACAGAGGAGTTATAATTTGCCAAGCATACGTATATGCTTTCTTGGCAAGATTAAGACTAGAAGAATCGGTTACACTCATATTTATAAGCGAAATATGCCACTAGCTATTTAGCATAATGTCTTCAAAGGTAGGGTTGGGAATTTGTTTCAGAAACACTTTTCATCTTATTTGTTAAAATTGAAAGTCATCATTAAAAAACAGTGTCCGTGTTCCTCGCAGGACAGTACTGATCATTACATTCGGTCCGAATTAAATGATTGGTGGGCATACATGTCTGTCACTAACCCACCAGCCTGTCTGCCAGTCAGGGCACCTTCCTGTGTTTTGGGGGGGTAGCTTTGATGAGAGGGATGATGGGAAGGGATGGTGATGCATTGGTTGCTTTCTCTTGCTAGCTTTTCCAGGATTACCAACCCTCGCTTTAAATTAGGGGAACAGTATTTTCTTCTGGACATAGTGGTGTCAATCGTCTCATTAAACTGTCAATAATAAAGAAAATAGGCTTTTTTCTCTAAATAACAAACTATACATTAAAGACAAATATAATACAATTAAACATCAGGTCTGCCACAACATTAAAACCAGTTTCCGCTTTCAATGTTGTTTCTTTAGGTGTATTATTAATGATAAAAACAAAATGTCCTCTTCGCTCTGACCAGTTCTTCCTGTTTCTGTGGCATCATCACACAAATAGATGCAGCTCTCACCATGGCCCTCCTCTTCTTTGTACTGCAGAGAGCACATACAGTGATCTCCCTCCATGTTTTCATTAATCTGCAGGTCTCTAGGCTCTTGGCCCGGCAACATCCATTAGCAGCTCTTATATAGGGCATAACACAGCACACTATGATATCTCACTGGCACTGATGGAGGGGGAACAGTTTTACCATTTGGAGCGGCACACCGCTTTAAGAAATACACAGCTCCATTAAGCCATTTTTTATTATATTATATTATTGAGAAAAGAGACACTACAGTAAAATAAAGTATTCAACAAAGCAAGGCTGTTTTCAAAGATAACGATAATAAGATAAGGTAAAATTAATTATTCTTACATTAATATTTGTTATTATTGCTAGAACACCAGGGCAACAACAACACGATTAAATGAATTTCCCTCATGACCTTCCTCAGACATGATTGGGTTAACATCCTGAAGGGTAATAAGGTTCATTCAAATATAAAAACATCACCTCCAAAATTCTTCTTTTTTCTCAAATCTTTCCTCCCTTTTTTCATTTATTAAACATCATGGCAATAAAATGGCCATATGCACATTTCGTCTTTTCTTTTCTAATCAAAGCTGTATCATGTTTTAAATCATCCCTCTTTTCAAAATACTAATGGACCAAGAAGAGGGTGAGACAGATTGTATTTAATGCTGTGTTCACTCCCTACACCTGCGGGCTCTGCAGTTGAGGAAAATCTGACTATGTTGTGGAATTGTTAAATCGCTCCACTTACCCACACGTACCACAACCTCCCTTTTCCCTGGGTCCCAAGAGGCAATTTGGCTGTGGGGGTGCTGAACTGAGAGTCAGCTCCCTCCTGACTGGCGGAGAAGGGATGCTGCATGTGGTGTTGATGATGTCTCAGGACGCTGTGCTGTGGTTTATTTTTCAGTTGCTTTGGAGTTGGTTGACCGGGCTGTGACTGTCATTAACCATTGTGTTGAGCTTATTCTGTGCAAGTTGGTTCTTTTTTTTTGTTTTTTGTGAGACTTGCATGAAATCTTGGTTGGCATTTTATGCGCTGTAAAAAGATACACAAGTTATGCTTCTGTGTTCAATTTTTTTATTTGACGTGTGTGTGTGTGTGTGTGTGTGTGTGTGTGTTGTCACGCTGAGACCAGTGTATGTGTGAGGAGAGGAGCTTGTTGCTACCCTCGACAAGTTTCAAACACACCCTGCTGTATTTTGCTCACTCTGTGCACAAACTCTGTGTAATCACAGATTCTCTTTTCCCTCTTCACATCCTCTGGCTATGCTTCTCTGGTTTACGCACTACCTCACTCCCTCACACACACTTACACACACACGTACACACTAACCACCACTTGTGTTATTAGGAAGCCCACCAGGGACCAATTTTCCCACATTCCTCCCTCTTCTTCTCACCCTGTTCCTGCTCTGTCTCACTCTGCTGACTGCTCTGGGCTCTCTGGGACTGTGGCCTGTCAGTGGGACGTGGATTGGGAGGGTGGGGGGGGCAGAAATTCGGCAAGAGAGATTGAGTGCACATTATACAGGAGAAACTGTGTGTGTGTGTTTGTGTGTAAGAAAGACAAGTTGAATAGAGATGCAGCTCTGACTGTTGTAGTGCCTTAATTGGGCTGTTCCACAACAAAAGAACGAAGGGAGGGGGGAGGTGGAGATATAGGCGTGATGTGTGGGTGTGAGTGTACGAGTCAATCAACAGTGTGCATCTAGTATGGTTTTGTGTTGTCTCCATGTGTGAAAACAGTTTATTTGTCCGTCTGTGTGCATGTTTGTGATCAGTCTTGTGTGTGTGTTTTACAGAACATAACACAGATCAGCCGTGACAGTAAAACAAGTTACCGCTTTTAATGTTGTGGCTGAATCAGTGATCATCTGCACAGTACTCACTGATTTATACTGACAGAAGTTTGACTGTGTGTGATCTGTAGGGGTGTGATCAATCCCATCGGTGGTGTGAAGGGAGGACGGACGGCACCCCTGCAATGTGTTTCTGTAGCCGAAGGCCATTCCAAGCCAGTGCTGTGTGTGGATGCTACAGATGAGCTGCTATTCACTGGATCTAAAGGTACATTAATCACTTATGGTAAATGTAATGAGTTAATAATTCTTTGAAGCAAATTACCCACCACCCTAAAATAAATGTGTTATCTTCCACATTTTTGGTTTATGGAATAAATCACACAAGATACACAAGATGTTAATTATATAACTTCAGAGTTGATGGCAGGCAGGTTTTTAGATGTGTTATTTTTAGCTGCCTCTGAGCTTCATATTTCACACACACACACACACACACGCACCCGCACACATATGCATGCACAAGTTGTATTGATGTCCTCATCTTACTCCAGGAAAGAAAGGAAATGAGAGAATTTCTCAAAACTAGATTTCAATTAAGTATTTTTCATGACAGCACTCCACTGAAAAGGGGTTGAGCCATTTTAGTCTCAATCTGATTGAAAGATTAAAATAATCTGTTATCACTTTTATTTATTGTGATGTGCAAGTAAGTGTCGAGCCAAAATGTGTACCTGTGGGGCTGAGTAGACTTGTGTGAACCTTCCCTCCTCCTCCTCCAGATCGCACATGTAAGATGTGGAACCTGGTGACAGGTCAGGAGATCGCCACGCTCAAAGGCCACCCCAACAACGTGGTGTCAGTCAAATACTGTCCCTCCTCTGGTTTGGTCTTCTCTGTCTCTACCTCCTACATCAAAGTGTGGGACATTCGTGACTCTGCCAAATGTGTCCGTACACTCACGTAAGTTTTCTCCCTGTAACCAGCCTGAACAGTAAAAGCTGAAAAACAAGACAAATGCAGTGCAGCAGATTTTTGATTTAAGGGCTTTACCCTCATACTTTTTCATTTCACTCATGTGTTTCACATTGCAGATAAGTCGTAAATTGAATGGGAAAAATTCTCTCCTCCTTTTATTTGTCTCTCTCTGACGCTGTCTGGCTTGTCTTTACCCCCACAGTTCATCTGGGCAGGTGGTTTCAGGTGATGCGTGTGCTGGTACCACAACCCGCACAATAACATTTGCACAGGGGGAGTGCCAGATCAATCAGATAGCCCTCAACCCATCAGGATCTGTGCTTTACGCTGCTGCAGGGAACATTGTTCGCATGTGGGACCTCAACAGGTACAATTCATTTATTGCTTTATTCATTCATTCCTACTCAGACAAATACTAATTAGAAGTATCCAGTTAGTCATTCATGTCTTCATTAATTCCTTCTACTGATTTAAAGTTGAGTCATCATCATATTTAAGTCTTTTCATGCATGTAGAGACCGGCTGTGGGCCTCAGTCCACAGAAGCCTGAAGCTGCAGCACCACTGCACATAGAGCTGATCACCTGTTTATTCAAAGTTCAGAAGTCTCAGTACACAGAAAGCTGTACTGGAGAATCAATTGTCGTGAACGGGCTGTTGTCATGTTCATCAACGTTGCTTATGTTAGGAGTCCCAGCTGCCCACTGCTAGAGAGCACTGGTCACCTGTTCATTCAAATTTGATTAAAATTGAACATATCATGTTTCCAAATAAAACACTGCACCTTTCTTAAACAATACACATGCAAACTGTGATGCCAATCATTTCTCGAGATATGCGTTCCACATACAGACAGACTAAGATATTTCAGGAACTAGTATATAGATGTTGACTTGGACTTAAGGATGAACTGATAAGAAATTCGGGTTTTAAATGTCAAGGCCAATGTGACCTTTTAGTCATAACTTCAGAATTTATATGCTACCATAATAAAAAATGATGAAGTGATGACGGCTAAAGGTCAACTTCACTGTGATACTGGGGCCACAACTCAAGAACAGAAGGGGGAGATTGTGATCATATTTTCTGCAACTTGACTGATTGGTGGATGCATAACCGCAAAGCAGCAATTCTAGTTTTTGCTTCAAGTGGGAAATGATTAAAAGATTGGAGCAGAAAGTTTAAGCTAAGGGGCTCAGACCCATTTAATGATACATAAAAACCACTGCCCCCCAGAAATGAAGAATGGATTAAACATTTCTTCAGTATCATCTCTGCCTGTGGCATCGCTGTGTCTCAGCAGTTTTGCTTCACTTGCGAGACGAAAAGTGATTTCATTCAGTGTTACAGGCACCTTGAATTTCACAGACTTTTGCTTCTGATGCTTTGGGTGCGTTTGTCTTTGTGTTTGTGTGTGTGTATGTGCGTGTGTCTGTCTATTTGTGTAGGATGCAAGCAATGGGAAAGCTGACAGGTCACATTGGTTCCGTCATGTGTATGACAGTGGGACAGTCTCTGCTAGGAAAAGACCAAGTAATCACTGGCTCCAAAGACCATTACGTCAAGGTACCAAACACACATTTAAGAAACAAGTGTCATCCACCTCATGGGTCGGAGGTGTTGATCATCATATGATTATCTCCTATCTGTTTTCCTGTTCTCTCCTCAGGTGTTTGATGTGGCAGAGGGAACTCTGGGTAATGTTGGCCCAGCTCATAATTTTGAGCCGCCGCATTACGACGGCATTGAGTGTCTGGCTGTGCAGGGAGACGTGCTGTTCAGCGGGTCAAGAGATAACGGCATCAAGAAATGGGATCTGGAGCAGCAGGAGCTCACTCAGGTGTGTGTGTGTGTGTGTGTGTGTG